GATTGAGATATGAATTTTTTCCACGAGTGCACATAAAGCTGAATAACGAGTTCGGCAGACAGATTGGTGAATTTCAAAATATTGCCGCGGCTAATCTACTACGAATCCTTCCATGATTTTTGGGGATTTCCTTATCTCTGAGTCTTCTTTCCAGTGGCTCAGACAGCTAGCGATTTGGACGTTCCTAGCTTGAGATATGTGCGTTCCAATGACAGCATGCAGTGCTGTGAAGCCGAAATGACAGACTTGTGCATCGCCTTCAAAAGTTCATTCCGACTTGTCCTGATGGAATTTGGCCCTAAATTTTGGATATGACGCTGTGGTGCAAGTTTTGATTCTGCATAACCAAGCGGATTGCAGTTTGGACACTCCTAGGTCGAGATACCATTTTTTCAATGCAAGCATGAAATGCTATAAAGTCAAAGTAGCAGAGACGCGCCAGGTGCTTGCTCGCTGAAGTCGGAAAGGCCTACTCCAGTTGTCCCTCTCGCCAACCTGCAAAGATGCGATGTGGCACATGTTCGCTCGGCAATGATGGAATACGGTCTCTTGAAGCCTCTAAGAGTAGGGATTTTATCGCCGAGATTGAAAGGATACTTCATGTTATTCTCTCGCCAAGCCGCAACAAATAGACGAGTGTTTCGCTGCAAGTCATATAGGCATCTCGTGCATCTCTTAGGCAAATCGAAGACCGCTAGTACTCTTTCATGAGCCTTCAAAAAAAAATACTTCGAAAGTTCTCGATGCCAACAACACGAAGTTTCTGTAGATACGTTACCAGCGATACGAAGCTGTTGATTCCACATGATTGATTGGCGTCACGGCATGAAGTTTCAATTTGTCAGTAAGTATCGGTACCAATGGCACGCTGCTTCAATTCGTCATGGCAAACATCGCCAGCAGCACATTGTAGGCAATCAAATGTTCGAGCACTGCTTCGGTTTGAAATCTATACAAGAATTTTCCATTGGCCACCTTGAAAAAAAAAGAAGGGGAAGTCGGCATGAATATAAAGTGAGCAAAGAAAGGTTAAGATTAGGAAAATAAAATCAGTATAGAAGCAAAAGTTGAGATTAAGGATCTGCATCTCTGTCCTCGACCAATAAATCATGTGTTAAGTCCCTAACATCACATTCGTCAAGCTTCAATATCGACCGTCACTGCTGTTTTTTTTTTTTTTTGCCCGTGATATATCCTTCAGTTCCATCGTCAATAAACTCACGTTTATCTCCAACAGAGCCGGCGTCACATTCTTCTTCGGTGGACTATAGACAGCAACAGGGATCTCCAACCAAGATACCAGGAGGATTAAAGGTTGCTACTTAATTTTTGCGCAGCATCCAACTTCAGAAGGAAAAGGACGCTAGAAGAAAAATCGACCATCACACCTGCGTCCAACGAGGCTGACGGTGGCTGTGGAAGGCTGAAAATTGAGTTATGGTACAAGGATAGGTCTGACTCCCTTTTATAGGCGCAGAAGTTTACTTGTAATCTAACTCGGAAGTAGCTCCATGGGTTATCAAGAGTACTAAATCGAATTCGAATGAAATACGGTAACAGCGGAACCGATAAAATTGCAATTTTAGTAGCTTATCTTTCTCAAGCTGGAGTTGTGTCTCATGCTAAGTCTTTAAACCGATTGCAATTTTCGGAAATGAATTGCTTAAAGCCACGTAACCACTGTTGCAACTGATTTACTGTGGGGAGCTGTAATGTGCACTAAGATATTGACTTCTTGTTAAAATCAAGCTAAGTGGAGCCAAATTCTCCTACTTACAAGTTCCAAGCATGATCTAATAAAGTCCTTACAAATAATCCTAATGTGGAAGTTGGACATTCGTATACCTGCAGATATGCGCTAACATATGGATTGTATTTGGGACTTTGCCAATTTTTTTAAAAGAGAATTTCTGCGAATTACTTAACTGTGTGCAATTTTAAAGTGCCAATTAGTGAGAAATAGAGTGGAACAATATCTAAACAATAAGATTCTCGGCTCTATCGGTACTTCAAATTTCGTTTTTACAGTTGATCAAGTCTACTTTAACAAACTTTGAAGTAGGGGCATCTGTAGACATGTAAAAATTATTAAGTTTAGTCCATACAAAATTTGGAGTAAATTCTAAATTACTTTGGGTCGAATAATTAATTTGGACTTCACAAATTAATAAGTCCATTTTTAATTTCAAGTCCAAGGTCCATTTCATCTTAAGGCCCAGGCTCATGGCATGTGTCAAGTGACATGGCATGTCCAGTCAACTCAAGGCCAACAAGATGATGCCACGTGTTAAATTATGTGGCAATCCCAGTTGAAAACAGTGACCAATCAAGAGTTGCCAAGTGTCTAAAATGACATGTCTTGGCCAATCACAAGCAAACTTATCACATAGCTTATGTGATAAGATTGATGACTCACATGAACCAATCAGAATCAAGCAAGAGAGTTCGTATGTAGCTGGACTGTCCATCATCTACCATTATAAATAGAGGGGTTACATAACTCTCTAGAGGACATTCAGAGTTGGAGAAGAACACTCCGCAATTGGTGAGGGCATCCACAAACATAGAGATCAATCATCAAGTGCTTAGTTCTTAAACAAAGGAGTAATCAACGGAGTTCTTCTCGGAGATCAACCCGTAACAACAAAGTGCTGCTCGACGTTCTTGGCGATTAAATACATCACAAGGAGGTCTGCATCATCCTACATTCGAGAAAGACGCTTCTCAAGCCCTCGAATCATGGAAAATTTTAGAGAGGAGAATCAAGGGATACATAGAATTGTACTCACGAATATTTATCAATAAAATCACTTTTTTCTTCATATTATTTTTGTTGCAGTTTATTTTTCGTATTACGAAAATTTGTTGCGAACAACACCTTTTACATATAAAAGAACAAATCAAGTCAAGGTTCTTGCATCTATTTAGTTCATTGGTGCTTATATATCAATTTTTCTTTTGGGTTGTATTGTTCTTAAGATAGAAAGAAGAATCTTTGGTAAGTAATTGCTTGTTCATTAATTCAACAGTACCCTTAGCTGAAAGATAATTTCGTGTGTCTATTACGCCGTATTAAATGCCTAATGTATAGGGCCTACAGGAAACATTATTTTAGTCATTTTACAAGGTAAGAATAAAGTCAATTGTCCGATTATTTTTGGTGGCTCTTTTGGGTTGATAGAAGTGTATGGTCAGTTGGAGTTTAAGAAGAAACATGACTGGTTATTTATGTTTTTTCCTCTTTACTCAGTGAAAAATTAGCTAGACTAGCAGCTCATATTAGCAATAAACTAAAAATAGCCCCATTATTTTTTAATTACCTAATTTTTACATTAAAAATCTAATTTTTTTAGGCGTAAACAAATCTAGAACCTAAATCTATGCAGAGCTCCTTCTACGCATAGATCGTTTTCCACAAAGCTCCTTCTACACAGAGTTTGAGATGTCTTTTTCTTGTTATAGTTCTAATCACAAATCATTCGACTATGTAGAAGGATGCCCCAGTATATAATTAATGTATCCCCTATATAATGTTTATATATACATGAGTATACCAAAATCGTAAAGAGTAAATTTTATAGGTTTCTCTCTTCTTCCCCATCCAGACTCCACTTGTGAGATTTTACCGGGTCGTTGTCGCCTCTTCTTCCCCAATTTTTTTTTTTCAGTTTGCTTCACTCTTTAATTCTTCTTTTGGTTGTTCTTAATAGACACCTTGTACATATATGGGAGAAATTCAAAATTAGCCAGATTTACAAGTGGTCATTCAAAAATAGCCACAGTTTCAAAAGTCATTGAAATTTAGCCACTTTTCATGTAAAGATAAATCTAAACGACAACACTGTTCAAAATCCGAAAAATATTCCAGCATAATATACTGGAATTCCAGAATAATATACTGGATATTATACTGGAGCCAGAAAGTACACCGGTCCAGCATAATATGCTGGAAGTTCATATACAGGTGCACCAAACTCCAGTATATTATGTTGGATCGGTCTCTGTTGCAGCAAAAATAGTGGCTATTTTTCAATGACTTGACAAACGCTGGCTATTTTTGAATGACCAATCCGAAAACTGGCTAGCCCATGCTACTTTAACTATAAAAGAACGAATCAAGTCAAGGCCCTTGCATCTATTTAGTTCAGTGGTACTTATATAATTTTTCTTTTGGGTCGTCTTGTTTTTAAAATAGAAACAATCCTTTGGCCTTTTAACTAATGTGTAGGGCTTACAAAAAGCATTATCTTAGTCATTTTACTAGGTTAGGATAAAAGTCATTTGTCTGGCTATTTTCGTTGGCTATTTTGGGTTGATAAAAGTGTATGGCCAGTCGGTGTTTAAGAAGATATATGACTGGCTAATTATGTTTTTCTCCCTTTACTCATTTTGCATAACTTGTCTAATTTGTAGTTGCATCTTAACACAAGTTCTTTCATCAATTTTTAGGTTTCTCCACCCCCTTCCTCAGTTTCAAGTTTCACTTATAGGCATCTACTATTGTATCCTTCTTTGTAACAAGTAGCTCTGCAAGTCTATACGAGCAACTTAACCCAGTCTCTTGATTGAAACATGTCTGTGTACATCAGATTGTGATTTAGTTTATAGAACGGAGTCAAAAGCAATCTTCACAATTGCCACTGGGTTTTAAAGAATAGATGTTGATTGACTAGCTCCTGGATGAATCTGGAGCTTGTTTTTCGAGGACCAAATTCATTTTCAGCTAAATTTTACAAGGGAGCAGTCTTACTGGCTTCTTTGCGTAGGACAGAATTTATATATAATATTTCTGTAACATCTGTATGCAATTGAAAGATAGTATAAGCGGAAAAAAATTCCACGTTAACATATGTCAAAAGGTTTGTTTGTATAATCATAGAAAAAGTTTAAGATAATTGTTTCAAGAGAAAGGAGTGCGATAACAATCTCAAGATGACCAGATGCAAGTTTAACTACTTTCCTCATAGGATTGATAAGTACACAAGTACAAAATAATGGTGTAAGATAAATTGAACCAAATCATATTAATCATATAAAACGAACAAAGCGCATTTTTCTTGATAGAACTGATTGAGTTCAATTGCACAAAACACAATCTAATTGCTCAATGGGCTGTGCCCATTAGGTGACAACAAAAAATAATATAAGAGAACCTGCAAAAATCATGATGGAGCAACAATAGGAAGGTAATATAAACTTGCTTATGTTGTCAATTCCATAATGGCACTAACTATGTCCCCGTTGTTGGTCTTCAATGCCTTAACTGCCTTGCTCCTGGACACACCTGCTTGTGTCATAACCAACTCAATGTCTCGAGGTTCAACCCCCGTCTCATCAACCTCTTCTTCTGCTTCCTCATCAGCCTCAGCAGCAGCAATAGAGGGAGAGACATTTGACTTAGACATAACAGATCCCATGTCTGGCATCCTAAACTGTTGCGCTGCCTGTGTCTGCAGCTGAGAGCTCAAATCTTCAATCTTAGCCTCTCCAAATATGACATAGGTTTCCGAATGTGCGCTCTTAAAGATATCTGGTTTTGAGATGCAAAATAAGACCTGCAATAGTTGTTATCGAACTAGTCAGCAAAAATTAATAGCCGAATTTTCTAGATGAAAGGATATAATGAGGAAACTAACATTTTTTGTCCTCTTAATAGTGACCCTGCTAACACCTGTAAGAGGTTTCATGCCAAGTTTCAACATGGCTCTACGACTCTTTTTCTCACTCCGGCTCTGCTTGGAACTTTCATTACCACCTGTCATTGATGGAAAAAGTTTGAACACGCATTACCATCGATGTCACAGACTGCTGAGCATTTGATTTGGCATGTCTATCAAATATATGATACAACTAGGTAATGGCCCCAAACATGCGCAGCGGAGCAAATGTGTACATCAACAAAGTAACTAATTAGAAACCTAAATTAGACTTGCATTAAACAGGAAAACAGAATTAGTTCACAAAATGAAACAAATAAAAAAAATGACTAGCAAGTATACAAACATGTCTGCTAGTTCATATCTCTAAGAAGGAGACTGCATCTAGCAGTTACAACTGCGTACCAAAAATTACACTAGTGGGCAGTGGCTCTAATATTCTGTCAGCATGTAAACAGCCAAATCCAAAATGTAGGACAGTATTATCCATATTTCAGAACCTGCCTCCAAACAAGAATTAGTCAACATTCCAAATTGAATTACGAAAAATTACCTAAGCCCAATCAGTTCATACAGCAATGACTACTATAAAGTAGATGAATTTGCTGTTAGGAAATTAACCCTGTAGCATCCATTTCTTTTAAAACCTTCTAGGAACAATGTCATAATATGCATTTGAACTATTAGAACAGAAACCAAAATAAACTGCAGAAGTTACATTAGCCCCAAACGGTTCAGTTACTAATTAAGTACCAAAAGAGCTTAGCCAATCCAAAACTCTGTGCATGAAATCCTATGTGATCTACAAAAGGATTCTGAAGTCGCAGTAGCAACTTCACAAACTAGAGGTAGCAGTGACGGACCAAATCAGAATCAGCACCTCAAGTAATCAATCAACATAGCCTCAAACACAATTTTTATGGAATCCTCTATTTAATTCCCAAAATTTAGACGATTCATCATATTATGCGCAATTTTTATGCTATCGATCAACCTACTGCAACCGTGACCCCTCATTAGGGACTGGAAATGCGAAAAAATTGAAAACAATATAAGAAAATTCAAACACGAATACAGAGGCAAAAAACAAGAGTAGAGAAACAACACCTTGGGCATCCTCTTCCTTGTCATCATCGTCGTCCGAATCAACCGCATCATCATCATCATCGTTGTCGTCTTCCTCTTTCACATCTTCCACTATGAACTCCTCATCCTGTGGCCCACAATATCAACGAAGATAACGTTACCATTAAAATGGAGCAACTAATCTATTATGCCACTCAAAAATTTTGGGGGACAAAGACTCGAGAAGATAAATGAAAGTACCTGAACCTTCTTCTCGACCTCAACTTCTTCGATGATGGGACCTGGCATGGCTCGCTCTGTAAAGGGTTCTGCTACAGCTTTACTTTGAGGATGAAATTATGGTAAATTTTGTCCAAGGGTTCCTCCTTTATGGGCCCGATTTAACCAGTTAGCTTCACTTCATTATTGGACTACTTCTTAAGGGCCCATATGATTTTCGGTGTAGAAGAGGACCTTCCTATACTACATATGAAACTTTATTATCCTTCATAATCAAGTTTTAACTTAATTATATGGTTATATACAATTTATCAATTATATACAAATTAGTTTTAAATAAGTATCCATTTTATATTAAAAATTAAATAAGGAATCAGTTATTTCTCATCCCCGTTCTCTCTCTCCTGCTCTCTATCTCTCTCTCTCTTTGTCTCTCTCCCCTGCGCTCTCTCTCTCCGTCTCTCTATCTCTCATTCTCTGTTATTTTTCCAATTTTTCTTTCTTTGACGTTCTCTACTTTTAATCAAAAATCATTGAATCTTTGAATTCGAATTTGGGTTTTCAAAAACCATTATTTATTTGGATTGGGTGTTGTTGCAAACAATTGGAAATATTGTTTGGAGTGTATATCTTAATTTTGAGGGTGTATTTCAGATTGAAACTCGTCGTCGTCGTCGTCGTCGAAGAAGAAGAAGAAGAAGAAGAAGAAGAAGAAGAAGAAGAAGAAGAAGAAGAAGAAGAAGAAGAAGAAGAAGAACACATGGCATACAATATACTTACGAAATTGTGTTAAAGTTATTCTAAATGCATTTAAGTTGTACTCTACTGTAGTTATATATATTTTTATTTGAATGATGTATGAAAGTTGAAAAATAGTTGTTTAATGTATGAATTGTTGTATGAAAATTTTTATTTAAGTTATAAATACTATCTTTTTACATAATAATAATAATAATAATAATAATAATAATAATAATAATAATAATAATAATAATAAGAAGAAGAAGAAGAAGAAGAAGAAGAAGAAGAAGAAGAAGAAGAAGAAAGAAGAAAGAAGAAGAAGAAGAAGAAGAAGAAGAAGAAGAAGAAGAAAGAAGAAAGAAGAAAGAATAATAATAATAATAATAATAATAATAAGAATAAGAATAAGAATAAGAATAAGAATAAGAAGAAGAAGAAGAAGAAGAAGAAGAAGAAGAAGAAGAAGAAGAAGAAGAAGAAAGAAGAAAGAAGAAGAACACATGGCACAATATACTTACGAAATTGTATTAAAGTTATATTCTAATTGCATTTAAGTTGTATTCTGCTGTAGTTATATATATTTTTATTTGAATGATGTATGAAAGTTGAAAAATCGTTGTTTAATGTTTGAATCGTTGTATGAAAATTTTATTTAAGTTATAAATACTATCTTTTTACATAAAGTTGTTGATATGTATCAAAATTGTATTGAAAGAGAAAATGTTGATTGAAATTTCAGAGAGGAAGAAGAACACATTATATACAAAATATATACAAATCTTTTACAAAATAAATACAATATATTTAAAAATTGTATTAAAGTTGTATTCTAATTGTATTTAAGTTGTATTCTATTGTAGTTCTATATATTTTTATTTGAATGATGTACGAAAGTTGAAAAATAGTTGTATAATGTATGAATCGTTGTATAATTTTGTATGTAATTTATAAATACTATCTTTTTTACATAAAGTTATTGATATGTATCAAAATTGTATTAAAAGAGGATATTTTGATTGAAATTTCAGAGAGGGAGAAGAACACACTACATACAAAATATATACAAATCTTTTACAAAATACATATAATATACTTACGAAATTGTATTAAAGTTTTATTCTAATTGTATTTAAGTTGTATTCTATTGTAGTTATATTTTTTTTATTTGAATGATGTAAGTGTTTAACTAGAAAATAAGGATTTCGGTCAATGCGTAATTTTAGAAGAACTCGGGTTACTGATAATCGAATAAAGAAATAAATGTGTAACAAGAAAAGAAAATTTGAACTGAAAGAGTAACAAAGTAATCAAATTTAACGCAATGAAAATAAGTATATTCCAGTCACCATCAGTGTGTCCCATACAAATGTTATTTCTCTCCTTTTATAGCTATTTCTAAGTACTACATTACTTCCCTCTCATAATAGAGCCATTATGATCAATTAATAACATTAATGTAACATTATAATCGACAATCGTAACTGTTTCGTGAAGATTCTCTAACGTTTCCTCTCATTGATGCTCATTAATTGTAGATAATATGTATCTGTACTTTTTGCTAACTAGGTTCATTCCTCCGTCTTCTCTTCAAATCATTAAGATATTCCATTAACCGTTCCTTTTTTTCTCTTGAATCTTTGCCCGTTCCTGTTAAGGTTCGCGACTCTTTGAATACTCTTTGCCATCTGTCCTTCTTCCATTGATCCACGTGCCTTGACATGTCAGCACATAATTAATTCCAAATGTTAATTTGATTTTTCCCAATACAGATAGTCCCCCCACTTGCCATATATTCAGCAATTGAATATTTGGGAAGTGGATCTCATTAAAGTGGAAATTTTTTCCGCCATTTCATATATCATTATACCTTCTCCAGAACTGACGCTTCGAATGTCACTTCCATTTAATGCTCGTGAGACGTGGCATCTTTTTGTTGGTTTTGCAATCCTTCAGCGTCTTTTATGGCTTTTTTACGGCTTCATCAATCACGAAGTGACAGTTTTTATTATGATGTTCCCATCATTACCTTTTTTGTTTGACCGCTGCTTCTGAGTATAAATATATCCTTTGTCTTTTCTTTCATAGAAAAGTTTTCCATCTTTGACAATTCAATCTTCCTTTCTTCTTCGTAAAGCTATGTCTTCTTCAAACCCTGATCCTCGAAAAGTACTCATAGTAGATGAACTTCCTCTTGGTCCAACTAGGAGCAGGAGATGAGGTAGGTTACGTAGTTTGGGATCAACTTCCATTCGAGGTTCTTCTTTGCCTCTTCCTAGTTCTACTCCTCCTTCTTCTTCTAGAACTAGGGCTTCTCTTCCACATAGATCTTCTGTCAGAAGTAGGACCCTAATGAACCAGTCCGTGAACCCACAGTAGACGAAATTATTCCTTCTGAACTTTCTTTTTATAATGATAGAGAATCAATTAGAAACCAGGTTTCCTCTATGTCTTCTCATGATCGTGCCGATGTTTATCCTTCACAAATTACTGAAGGTTTGATCTCTGTTGTCCGTAGGGATTGTCATTGGAGGTTTGACTTCCCAATTCTTATTCCTAATGCAAATCAAAGGATTACTTCTTTCAAGGCTGATTTTTCTTTCGTGTATACATTCCCTTTTACTTTGGACTTTAGACCCCCTATTGATCCAGTTATCATTGAATTCTGCCGCTTCTTCAATGTATGTTTAGGACAAATTGGCCCTATTGTATGGAGGGCAGTCGCATGTTTAAGGTATTTGGCTAATTAAGCTCAGTTGCCTTTCACCTTCTTTCATCTAATTCACCTCTACTCCCCTAAGTGTTGATACCCAATTTTTCCCTATATATGTTTAATATAAAAAATAACTTCAAAATAGCATATATATGCATACATAAGCATGTCCAAGTGTTTTATTATTTTCCATAATTTTTAAAGGTTTAAATTGATTTATTTTCCCCTTTTTATCCATAAAATACCCAATAATTATTTCCAAGATGATTATCTTGAGAATTCTTCTATTGGATTTTTATATTTATGCCAAAATATGGTTAAGGCCAATTTTACATATTTTTACAATTATATTTAGTATTTTTAAAGCTAAATTGCACATAATTGCAATATTAGTCATTTAAGGTTTAATTATGTTTTATACGCATAAAATTGGATCCTATATTTTTAAATTGTTAATTATGTACTATAAATCACTTTGGTACTTTAAATTTATTTTTCAAAAAACTATTTACTATTTTTTATAAATTAAAAGGGAAAACTGGCTATTTAAATAACAGTCCATTTGTATTTCAATTATAGACTAAATCAAACCCCAATTTCCCAGCCCAATTTTTAATTAAAACCGGACCCTAAACCAATTGAAAACCCACCGGACCAATCCCAAACCCGGATCCCCACCTACCCCATTCAATCTGGACCGTTGATCATTCGGATCAACAGTCCCCAGCTCCCCTTCCTAAATTAAACCCAAACGACCCCCCAAACCCTCTCACTTCTCCACTCAGCCGACTTTCATCTTTCTCTCTCTATCTCTGGTTCTCTCTAGAACCTTCTCCCTTCCCCTCCTCTCCGATGAACTTCACTCGCCTTCTCCGGCCATCTCCTTGCCTGAATCTATGGTGATCTCACCACCTACCAGACTTATGGTTCCCTCTTGAACATGCGTCACTGTTTTGAGGCCTTCAAGTGAACCAGAAGCGGTTCACTCCCCTTCCATGGTTTCCCATGCCATTTTCCGGCCATCCATGGCCATTCGAGTAAGATCCGTGACTTTTCTGGCTAGACCGGTAATTTCTCGAAGTTTTCCTGGGTTCTCCAAAACCCTAACTTTAAAGACTTTCCGATTTTTCCTTCAAATCTGTCTTAGATCTGTGTATGTTATGAACCTCTTAAGTGCTTTCCTTAAAGGTTTCTCCGATTTTTTTCAAAAATGACTCTTCGTCTTCAACAATTAGGGTTTTTCTTAAATCTCTTTTAAAAAGATTTCTCTTCTGATTTTCAGTGTTGTCTTATGATTTTACTATGTTTAAATGGTTTGTTTATGTTTTCTCCTACCTGGCTCATCGTGTTGAAAACCCTAAGGATCTTTTGTTTTATCCGGGGTTCTGGAGCTGTCCTTGTTTATTTGTTTATATGCCTGTTTTGATTGGGTTCTTTTCCTTTTTTTCTTTGTTTGTCTTGAATGATTATGATTTCTTACCGCTTTTTAACTCAACTTTGTTAAAACCCTAATTTCCTAAAATTTTCCTCACTTGTTACTACGAGTTTAAATACTTTCTTTACTTGTTTCTATGTGTTGGTTTGATCTCCTTTACATGTTGCTATGTGTTAGACTGATTTCTTCATTTTTGTCCTATGTGTGAGCCATGACTGTTTGACCTTGTTGATTACCATGCTTTGGGTAATCCTTAG